GCTAAATTTAAAAGGAAGATTTGGTACTGATGAAATAAAACATGGTGTATACCAAAACATGGGCCTCGGCCTCATGGAACATGTTCAAATTTTTGAGAAGTCCCTGCTCGAGGTGAGTCAGCCCATTGTCTAAAAGTCAGATTACCCTTAGCTGTGCTGTTGGTCAGACACACTATCCTACTCTCCTTCCCCTTAAGCTCACCTTGCAATCACCTAACCGCCCTATCCCCAACTCTCCCCTTTGCCACCCCCTCTATCTCCCCCCTTTTTTCCCCAACCTTCTCTTTTCTATGCTTTCTCTCTTAGATTTTTTGAAAAAGTTAGGTGTCACCTGAGGTGTTTTTTTTCCCCCATGTTGGCTAAAATCTATGCTTGTGCATACCAAGATACCTGACATCTGAATGACCGTTTTATGGTTCTTTTGTGAAATACTTAAACAGTTTTAGCCATTTTGTGCGATACTTTGTAAACTTTTGTATTTAAAAACAAAAACGGGCATCGCAACTAATTCAGTGTCTGCTACAGACACTTTTCAGGGGTGACTTTTGGGTTGGGGTACCAGGAAGGACACCAGAAAAATGCAGCCGGCTCACTGTATCGAGTTAGGGTTTGAGCCACCGCACTTTCTGGATAACTTCTGGAAAGGGCAAGGATCGCTTCCTGAAATTTTAGGAAGGATCCACTTTTTCCAGTTGCTCTGTAAGCACAAAAGTGTTATATACAGTCAATTGAAATAGACACTTTAGTACCAGAATATGGCTTTGTGGGAAAGTAATGCTTTGTCTGGTGGTCGTTCATCCCTCCCATGTAAAAAGACTATATTCATGGACTTGGAGGCTTCTCAAAACACCAGATGCCCTGCGCTCTCCCCCATTTCTAAGACAGGTGTTTACAAGCAGTTAGGGGAAGCAGAAAGACACCTTTGGCCGATGGCCTGCTCAGGGATTGGTATAACTGCCTATGCCCTAATTATGCAACAAGGACTAACCCCCCACCTCTCCAAAAGTCCCTTTCCCGTGCAGATGGATAATCTCCCAAAGAGACCCTGCTGTGAATAGTGCTAATGACGAGGAATAATCAGGACATGACCCAGCTGAGTTAGATGTATGAATAATGAATTCACAGGTTATAGTTCCTCCACGGGGGAGAGCACCTAGCAAATAGGCAACCTGGATGCCTCCAGGGAAGTATGACTCAGTTCAAGACTAATTATGTGACAATATGCTCTTAATCTTCTTGTATCCTCGTGATCATCACTGGAGTTAGTCAATCGGACGTTAAGTTGGCAAAGTCCAGCCTACTAAGTAGCCGATTGACTCTGTATATCCATGAGCCGTAATACAAGTCCTGCGCTCATACAGTGAAGAAGAAAAAAAAAAAAAAAAAAAAAAAAAAAGGAGAACAATCTCACCATGTGGACCCCACGAAATCCATTCTAGTGCTATCAAAGGCCGGGTATGTAGCCCTTTAAGATGTAAGTGTACATATGAATTCAATCCACACAGCCTGTCAAAAGGTCTCACAGCAGATCTAGAGAGCCGGCACGCACTCCGGGCATCTCAGCATCGGATCGCACGTGGAAGGCGGATGTGATCCCTTCTGCCTACATGTTGAGCCCTTCCCACTAACCGGGGCTTCTTCAGGGTGTAGCTATGGATTGGTCGGCTACTTTGCCTATATATCTCCATCGTCACACATGTTCCACTTCTTAAAGCAGTCACTAGGGATATCTGAAATTTCAGACCCCATGAGGGTTCCCCCTGCTGGTTGGTCAGCATGAAGAATCATAGCAAAAACCTCAAATCACAACCATATTGGATGCAGGATTCCCCTAATAGGAACCCATACATGCATCTTAACCAATATCTAGTTCCGCATGGCCACCAACATCGCTCTATCAAACAGGCTAAAAATCTGTTATCAAAGGAAGGGCTGTAAGGACAAGTCATTATTCAGTCCATGGGGATTCGTTGTATTTAATAGAAAAATCCATCTAGCCTCCTTTTTTAACAGGATCTTGTCCTTATCGCCTGTCCTTTCTGACAGACAACTGAAAAATGGCTGCACATTTTATACCTTTCAAAAGATGAATTATGAGACATCATGCATGTGACCCCACCCCATGTGACATATTTAAGAACGGTCAAATCAGCTCAGAGGCAGAGGGCTGTAAGCCATCGTCAGGAACAGAACCTTTTTTTTTATTTTTTCGGGTCGGCGGCAGGCATCGTGATTGATGTTGGATCTACTGCGATGGGGGGGGGGGGGGTCCTGGTATTTGCGTGAGAGTTCCCCCTCAAAATCTATACCAGACCCAAAAGGCTAAATATGGATGGGAGGGGGGACCCAACGCCATTTTTTTAAATTTATTTTTTTTATTGCTGGCTTTTTTTTTTTACATTCAGTTGTTCCCCACTGACAGCTGAAACATTAACACATGGTTGTCCCTACTAAAAATACTGCATGACTGATAAAATAACTCATGCAGTATTTTAGTAGCGTTTACTTTTTTCTGACCTCCGGAATAGATTAATTGGTTTTCAACGCATTCCTATGTGAAACGGCGTTCCGGTTTTCAAATTTTTCGCTATATGAAAAGTCCTGCACAACAAATTAAATTCGTAAACCGAGGGATTATTGTACATAGGTTCGCTTCTGCTCCTATATTCACTGCAGACCAGGGTGTCACTTATGGTAGAAGCCATTTTAGCTATAATCCAGAGCCTTTTCCCTACTATACCTCATTCTCTTATCTAACGCAAGGATATGCCAGTGCTTAATTGACTGATTTTAATTGACTCCAGTGTATTCCATATCTAGTAACCAGCCCAACTGTATTCTGCTGGTGCTTTTTATGTTTTCTATTTTGTAATTGCTATATCCGATCTTGTTTTAGTGCTCGCACTCTACCTTTCTCTAATACAGATTTAGGGTATCCTCTCGCTTTAAACCTCTCCTTTATTTCCTGTCTCTCAACATGATAGTCATCTATATTAGAGCAATTTCTCCTACTTCTTAAAAACTGTCCATAGGGAATCCCTCTGAGTGACCAGGGGTGGTGGCGTGGAGACGGGTATTACCCGCTGTAGGTTTACGAAAGGTGGCAGTCACTTTTCTCCCACCTTTTTTATTTTCAGAGCCAAGAATTCCATTTCATATTGATCCACTTTGTATGTTAGATATTTTTATCATTACAATTTAATTCTTCTATAAAGAATTGGAATTCTTCTGACGACCCTTTCCACGCCACCAGGACATCATCCATATAGCGGACCGATATGGCTACATTGTCATGGTATCTTGGGTTCTCAAACTACAGTTCTCTCCCTCCAAACTAAATGCAAACATGCATATGAGGGTGCACATGTGGTGCTCATCGCAACTCCCCTAGTCTGATGGTAAAATATTCAGTTAGGGGAAGCCCCTGCAAATAGGTCTCATGGTACCACAGCAGCCAATTCCAAGATTGAATAGGGGTCTAAAAAGTAGTATGCTTGCATAACAGCTGTCCACATACAAATGGCACCCTATAAGGAAAAAAAAAGGGTGACACCAAGTCCCATACTATCTTGTCACTGCTCCCCATGTAGACATGTAGATTGGGTATTCGGGGGGGGGGGGGGGGGGAGCTTATATAGCCTGTCACCCTCTCACATTGCTTATACATTTTAACTCCTGGACAGGCACGCTTGCTGGGGAGATACTGCTTGAATGCAAGGCGGCCAGAAAAATTAATGAGGGTCCCATCTATGCAATTGTTTTGTTGGAGCGTATACACATCCAGGAATTTCTGGAACAGGTAATGTACGAGGGGGTCGAACTGTTTGGAAACAATCATTCAGGGTTACCCCGAGGAAGACAATGCATGGTCATTGAAATGCATAAAAACACGTATTTTCATATCTTTACCTGGCCATTGCGGGAGAGAACATAGGCATATGAATCAATCAAGTCTGTGGAACAATAAGACCAACATTTTTTGTAATGCCCATGATGTTAAGGGTTAGGCCCAAAAAAAAAGAAAAAAAAAGTTAAACTCGGAAAAAAGGTTTCCACGCAAATTCTCTGGCAAGATTTGAATTTGAAGTGTTGATGAAGTGTTGAGTAAAGACTGCTTTGGTCCACAATCAAATTATACAGTTACGAAAAAAAACTAAAAAAAAAAAAAAAAAAAGTTACAAATATCGTAGTTGAATATGCACACCCTTATATTATTTTATTGAACCGCCTTTTGATTTATGCCAGTATTCTGTCTTTTGGGGTAGGATTCTATCAGCATAACACATCTTGTTTTGGGAATCTTTGCCCACTCTTCTGTGAAAAAGCGCTTTAAATCTGTCCAATTGCGACTTAAATTTAAAAAAAGGTGCTTCAACAAAGTATTAGTTGAGGGGTGTACATATTTATGCAACCACAAATTGTATTCAATTGAATTGCAAAGATTATAGGTCACATTAAAAAGGTGGGGAAAAAAATTCCATCATATAAATATATAATTTTACAATGGCAACTGAAAGTGGGTGGGATATATTAAGCAAGTAAACATGTTGTTCCTAAAGCGGATTTCCATGCATAAGGATTTAATGGAATTTGACAAGAGCCAAATTGTACTGGCAAGAGGACTGGGTCAGAGAGAAACTCCCAAACTAGAGCTTTGGTGTGATGTTCCCAGTCTGCAAATGATTAGGACCTACCAAAAGTGGTCAAAGGAAGGAAAACTGGTAAACTGACAACAGGATCATGGGCGACCAAGACTGACTGACTGGTGCAAGTTGGAAGCAAAAGCTGGCCTGGGTAACCCGATTCAACAGAAGAGCTCAAATTGCGGTTAATGCTGGTTCCGATAGAAAGGTATCAGGACATACAGTGCAGTTCGATAATTACATATACACACACTTTTTTTTTTTTTTTTTTTTTTTTTAAACTTCTTAACTTTCAGTAAGCATCCCACATGTAGCGGTGAGATTTCTACATTTCATTTAGTAGTAAACGCCATATACCTCAACATCGCACTCTTCATCAATAGCATATTTTGTCATTATCTCCATCCAGGTCTGGTCAACCAGCTTGTCTAAAGACAGAGTGTTATGGTGAACCATCTCCAGGACCTGTCTCTCATACCACACGGGAAACTCTTCTTTCAGCCTTTAACAAGAAATGCACACCATATACTATATGAGCAGAATTCTACAACACTTAAAGTTAAAAGTGAAATTGTACATTCATACAATATTGTTCAGAGATAAAGAGCATCCTTGCATTTGCAGCTCAGTAAACAGGATCTTTTCTAGATTTGTCACTGCAATTCATCCAACAAATAAACAGCTGTGGATGAATCAATTCTGTCAATGTGCAGCTTCCTACACAGTACGCTCTCCCTGGCCCTATTCAGCTTTCAGTTAGGAAATTCCCCAGCTGAAAGCGAAGGCCTGGTTCCCACCAATGCAGTTTGTGCTGGTTCTGTTTCTGCAGTGTTTGTTTGTGGTGCATTTTTTATTTTTTGCATGCTTTTTGGCCAACTTGTTGCTGAGCAGATTAAAAATGCATCATGCGTGAGAAATATACTACATGTGTTTTCTGCAGTGTCTCTATTGAACCAAAAACTTACCATTTTGCATTTAAAAAAGTCCCTGACCCTTTCCAAAAAATGTCCCATAGGATACCATGTTAAATTGACTGTAGTGCATTTCGGCAAAAAACACAAAAAAAAAAAAAACAAAAAAAAAAAAAAAAAAACGCATTGGTGTGAACCAGGCCTAAAAGTAAACAAAAAAAATAGCAAAGCCCAGATTTGGGAAATGACTGGTCACTGGGTGGGTAGAGCCTAAAGGGAAAATTATACTAACTGCATGTGCTATCAAAGGTCAAGCAGACCTGATTAGGAACTACTCTGATCTGCATCAGGCTCCGTCCAACCCACCACCTTGTTTTTAAACCAAGAAACCAATTCAGTTATATTTGTATGTCCAGATAACATTTTTTTGCAATTGTTGCTAGAATTTCTATTTTTCCCTTTAACATTTATGAAGATATCATGGGGTGCAGAAAACTGGATCCAATCTTGCATTTTGTAAGATCACGTAGGAAAAAAAACAAAACAAAAAAAACAAAAAAAAAACACACAAAAATCTAAAACATTGCTGTACAAACTACAGCTACTCACAGTTCTGTCACTTCCTGTTCTTCATCCCACGCCTCCTTGTGAGTCAACTGATTGCTTCCTGTACTTTTACACGTCCAGATCCGCTCTGCGTAGCGCTGCAAGCGCGCTTCATATTCTCTGGAAACAACTGGTTAAGGATAATTCTGACAGACTTCCATTTCATTGTTCATGAACAGTGGCAAAGTTAACAACCTTTTGTTAAAACAGGAAGTATGGGGTTTTTGTTTCTCCAAATTATACTTACCTAGGTTGATGCAGCATTGGTCCAAAGCTGCATCTGTCCTCCGCTGGCTCCAAGTGTGAGAACTCAGCGATCACATGACTGCTGAACGCTGACTTCTCAATGTCATTGACTGTCAGTCACTGCTGTCTGCTTAGCCTGCCCCTACCGCATGCTCACTGGTGTGCTGGCCTGTGGAAGAGGAGGGAGCGGCTGGCTCAGGCTCTCAGCAGATTGCCAACAGTCTGAGCCAGGTACTGCTCCAGACTCTGGGGTGGATCCTGACTTTAATCCTCTGGAGGGCAAGCTGTTAAAGAAAGGATACAATGTGAACCCTAAAACATACTGTAGTAAACAGCAGTACTCATACTGGTTACCACGTGTTTGCAGCTGCTTTTTTGGATATATTGTAAATCTGGTAATCATGCAGATGTAATGACTTAAAGTGTATGTATGTAAACTCTCACCCTGTAAAACGACCCTGTTTAAAATAGAAAATGAAAGTAAAACATTTGTGGATTTGAAAAAAAAAAGAAAAAAAAAACCACAACCCCACAAATGATAAAATAAGTAATCACATTCACTCTGTTCTCAGCAGTACAGAGGTAGAGAAGACCCCTTAAAGATGTGTTTGATCGTTTATATGATTTCGGTGGGAGCGATTCCTGTGTCCATTTAAAAAGGGAGAGATCCATCCAACCAGGGATCATCCGGGGAAATTGATTGCTCTGACATCCTTCAGGGTTGAATTTTTGAGGTTAGCGCACACACTAGAAGGTGATGGAGATAAATGGCACCATAACCGCATGCAAAAAAAGTGGGAATATAAAAGTTGAATTGAAAAATTTGGGATTTTTATATTTTATGTATTTTTTTGTGGTATAATAATTTCTCACACTTGTTGTGACATATATCAATTGATATAAAGTTAATAAAAAAAGTCGCCGGTTTTAGAATTGGTCACTTTGATTTTATATTTGCTTTGGAATGTATTTCACCTTTAAATTAAGGTAATAAGGATACTCAAGGTTTATTAATCTTTCACTTTAATATTCTATTATGATTTGATAATACTGTATTTTAGTATTTACAGCGCTACACCATTTGTTCTAAATTTTTTCAGCTCATTTCCTTCAGGTGTTAGCAGCTACTTCAACTCTTGTGAGGATATTTGGCAACGCAGGAGTCCACCCCCATTTAATAGGTCAGAAGTTATGACTTCTCTACTTTTACATTATACAGATAAACTGGAGTCTTGGTTTACAACTTCTTGGAGTACATCACAGAACAAAGTTAGAGGAATCCAGGTATGGTATATTTTTATACCATACCTTTGACCAATGTAACTATGTATACACCATAACTGTCTGATGCCCATGGAAGCTGTAAAATCACTGATGTAGACACCACTCCTTCAGTGATTTCCAATTGCTTCAGGGTCCTGTGCCAAATGTTGCTGGCCTGAGTCAATGAATACAGGCGGTCAGTTGCTCAGCACGATTGCATTCATTCACAAAATGCAACGTACTGAATGCAGAGTGCTCTAATTGGGTGAGGTGGAGAGGTGACATCACTCTCTACCTTGTCCAGCCAAAGAATGCTTTGCATCAATTAAGAAAATGCAGAGCATTCTCTGAAGGGCTCTCATTCTGAGCAGCCAACTTCTTGTATTCACAGCCACTCAGCACTGAACCTGGAAGCAAGTGAAGATCACTGAAGTAGTGTCTACTTCAGTGATTTCCAGCTTCCAGGGGCATTGGCTAGGCATGCTGCTACCATGGTTAACCTGCCGCCTTAGGTGAATGGAAACTAGCCAGGCATAAACACAATTCAGCCAAGTAAGTTTTGTAGCAAGCAGTGAGGAACATAAGCCAGATGGCAGAGATCTGTGTCCTGTCATGCACTCCAAAAAAAACAATTTACGGGTAAACTAAAAATCCCATTTTCTTTATTATACATCACAGGAATTAACAGTCATTACTAGATAGGATGTTCCAAAAGGAATCGATCTGAGGTGAGGGCAGCACAGCAACAAGCCCAAATCCCAAGAAAGAAAATAGGGGACCCCCTTACAAAGTCGACGGCAAGACCCCTTACCCCAAATGGGCATCCACAGAGGCAAAAAACGTGAACCCGGTAGAACTTTGTAAACACGTTAAGAGAAGACCAGATAGCATCCTTACAGATTTGAAATTAAGCTTGATGCTGAATGGCCCAGAACTACCGACACCCCTAGAATGAGCTTTAACTGGAAAATGAAGGAACCTTGCCCTTAAGCCAAAGAATCCACCTGTAAATTTTTTATTTAGAACAGTTTGACCCTTGCATGGTCTCTCAGGCACAACATACAGAATCAGACTGTCAAAACAGTCAGGAGTCTTCCTACGATCCTTCATCTCCAATGCAAAAGGAAGACCTAGGTGACATATTTGCTGCAGACGTAACCTACTACATGCAGAGACGCAGACAAACATGCCATTATCTAGAACCTTCTGGCCTTCACAGATTTAGGATTAGCGCATGGCTCAGGTTCTTAAAACCTCATTTACGTAATCAGCGCAAACTTGGTCACAGTACACCATAACCTGAATGTAAAAAAAAAAAAAAAAAAAATATCAAAGCACTCTGCTAACCACAAACCACCCTTACCCCAGTGCAAAATAAGCACCAGATAAAACATTATGTATGTTTGTGAAGGTTCAAGTGTTGCTATTAACCACTTCCAGTCTGGACACTTTTACCCCCTTCCTGACCAGGGCAATTTTCAGCGCTATCACACTTTGAATGACAATTGCGCGGTCATGCAACACTGTACCCATATGAATTTTTTACCATTTTTTTGAGACAGGTTAAAACTTTATTTTGGTGGTATTTATTCACTACTGGGATTTTTATTTTTTTGCTATGTAAATGAAAAGGTCCAAAAATTTTGAAAAAAAAGAAAAAAAAAAAGGTTTTCTAACAACATTTTGCAAATAAATAATATTTCATCATAAATCTTGGCCAAAATTTATTTCGTTATCTTTTTAGTAAAAAAAAAAAAAAAAAAAAAGCCAAATTGGTTTATAACAAAAATTATACATTTTAAACTTTTTTTTATATTTTAATTTATTTACTTTTTTACATACTGTCACCCTAGCAGTACAGTGTCACCATGGTGACACTACTACTTTTGGGGGGTGATGATTTTTTTTTTTTTTTTTTTACACCGATTGACCCATATAGGATGTAAAAGCAATCATTTCTCTCTCTGTCTGCATTCTTGCAGCCATTGAGAACTACTGAGTGAGCTGTGATTGGTCACAGCTTGTCACATGGTACAAGGCTGTTGTGAATAGCCTTGTACCATGTGACCTCTGATCAGTCACAGATTTCACACGTAGTAAGCAATGATGTCAGATTGCGGAGCGGCACCATAGACGAGAATAGGAGGCTTCAAAGCCTCCTGACTCGTCCAGAGGCGTCCGTTTTGCCGCGACGCAACGCGACGCAAACGCTCCCGTTAGAACAGCACCATGTGCTGTAATGTGCAGAATTGGCAGAGGCGTTTGGGAAGCGGTAAAAACGCTTCCCAAACGCCTCTCTGCCGCCTGCACACAAGGCTAGTGTGAACGTAGCCTAAAAAAGAATTTTAGGCCTTAAGATTACTTAAAACATTTTATGAAAACAGACACTGGAAAATAACTTATATGAATTGGAACTATTTTATGTTACACATGCATTGTTTGTTTGCCTTTAATTTTGTCCCTACTTAACTCTGTAGCTAGGGGATGCTCCACCCTTCATGCTTTAGCCTCCATTCACCACATGAACTGGAGCTAGACGCTGATTTTTTATGATCCGATTTTCATCTGTTATGATTTTCACAAGCTTTGGATTAAAGCCTGCTATGATCTGCAAGATATCATCTTGATTAAGCCACTGTCTGCCAAGCTACTGAGACTAAGTTGAGCTCTCTCACCACAATGGGATCAGTTAGAGAGATAAAAGATGAGGTTGCGCTGAGTAACCTGATACCAAACCCACGAAAACTATGACAAACTTCGGTACTCAAAATTTTCCAGGTGCTTTAAAAGCCTCTACGTAGGTCACCAATTAAATGTGAATAAAAATAGTCCTACAATTATTGCCCTCGATGCACAAGTTTACGTTCATATGTGCATGTATGTGGGGGACATTAAAAATTTGGGGGGGTTTAAGTGTTTTAGTGCATTTTTTTTTTTTTACATGAGGCTTTTTGGTGACAGACTCTTTAATGAGACAGGGTCTTTGCACTAATTGAGTGCAGATTGCATGTACAACCAGAAAATACTTAGGTAGAGTGGAAGGAGAATGAGTGAATGTCTGTTCTCTGATCTTTCATTCCAACTATCAGCACAGAGAAACCTGTATGGAACCTGTTTTCAGTGAAAACTGTCTACAATGGGTTTTCACTTTGTAAAGATTTTTTCTAACTTCCTGTTAAATTTACATCATCAGGACAGGAAGCCAAGGGAAACCTCCCAAATGAGACCCAGACGACATCCTAATCTATCCAAACTGCAGAGAAGGGGAAAAAAAAAAAAAGAAGGGTATATACATATTAGCGTTAGTTTTACTTTTAAGCAGGTATAGACAAATCTAGCAGCCAAAACAGCAAAAGCTAGAAGCCAACAAAATAAACGGCTGGCCAAAATGGAAATCCGCAATCTCCAGTCTTATTGATATTTCGGCAAATTCACAAGTTGGTGTAAATTTAGCAATAACAATAGACCCAAACAAATCCTGCTTGGGCAATCCCATATAGTACTGACCCATATTCTCACTCTCTTACACACAACAAAAACTCAGCAAGTAAGAAAGTTGCAACCATTTCCCTGGTCCAGAGTCTCCAGTGTAACTATTGAATACTCCCAAA